TGGACTTCAACTCCCAGAATCCCCCAGCTTCATGCTTTAAGAGGCCTTCTCTCTCCTTGTCTCTCCTCCAGAGCCATCCCTCGGCCTTCGGAGAAGCTCCATCCCGCTGCTGCTGTTGTCTTCTCCACCATGGATCTCTTTGAGAGATTTGAGGAGCTCCTGGACGTGGTGGTGTGCCTGGCCATGCTCTACTTCCTCTCCCAGAGTTCTCTCTTCCTTCTGTATTTGTACTTCCTGTTACCCCTGGCCTTTGTGTTCAAGGAGGAGAAGGAAGAGGAGGAGGAAGAAGAAGGAGAGGAGGAACAAACTATACCCGAAACTCAATAAACAAGGCAGTGGAACCTCTTGTGATGGGTTGCGTCTTCTAGTCCAAGCCTGCTTGCCGGCTGCCTCCCTGCTCCAGAGGTGGGATTCAGCCGGTTCAGGCGAACCGGTAAGTTCCGATGATCAGCTGGCTCCTCCTATAATTCCTTCTTTCTGGCTCAGCTGAATCACGTAGCACAGCTGATTTCCGCACCTCCGCTCTTCTATTTACCGGGGTTGCCTTAGGAGGTAAGCAGCTGAGCTTCAAATTGCTGTATTTTGAACGCTGCGCGATTGTTAAACCGGTTGGAGCCCACCACTACCCTGCTCTATTTTCAGTGGTGGGTTCTACTTACCTTTACTACCGGTTTGCAACGGGATCGCGCGCACGTGCCTTGCTTCTGCGCATGTGCAGATCGCTGATGATGACATCCGGGGTGGTGGGCGGGGCGTCCCGCCAGTTTTACTACTGGTTCTTCTGAACCGGTCTGAACCGGGGGCAACCCCCCACTGGTCCTCACCCCTCCTGGCTACCGGTACCTCCCCTCCCAGAGGTGCTTCACCGGTTGTCCAGAAAAGAGAACGAGGACTCTCGACTTACGACCACAATCGAGCCCCAAATTCCTTGTCGCTAAGCGAGACATTCGTGAAGTGAGCTTTGCCCCATTGAACGGCCTTTCTCGCCCCGTCGTTAAGCGAGTCACCGCAGTTGATAACTTGGCAACCCAGCTGTGAAGCGGATCCAGCTTCCCTGCAGACCTTGCGGGTCAGAAGTTTGCCAAAAGGGGATCGCGGGAGCCGCCAAGATGCTACGACCGTCATAAATATGAGTCAGTTTTCCAAGCATCTGAATTTTGATCGTGTGATCCTGGGAATGCTGTTAAGTGTGAAAAACGGTTGCAGGTCCCTTTTTTTTCCGGTGCTGTTGTAACTTTGAACGGTTGCTAAAGGACTTGTGGCAAGTCACGGACAACCTGTACAGATGTGGCACCTCTTTTGCAGCTGGCCAGCTGCAAAAAAGCTTTTTTTTTTTAATGAAAGGGGAGGTGTTATGGTCCTGATGTAAAGGTGATGGATGGGAGAGTTGAACCTGTTTCCCTGTTTCCTTTAGACCAGGGGTGTCCAACACAAGGTCTGGGGGCTGGATCCGGCCAGTAGTGAAATCCAATTATTTTTTACTACCGGTTCTGTGGGCGTGGCTTGGTGGGCATGGTGTGGCTTGGTGGGCGTGGCTTGGTGAGTGTGGCAAGGGAAAGGATACTGCAAAATCCCCATTCCCTCCCCACTCTGGGGCCAGCCAGAGGTGGCATTTGCCGGTTCTCCAAACTGCTCAAAATTTCCGCTACCGTTCTCCAGAACCTGTCAGAACCTGCTGGATTTCACCCCTGGATCCGGTCCAGAGGGTGCTTGGATCTGGCCCGCGAGGCCACCCTGGAAACAGCGAAGGACCGGCCGCTGTGCCTCTGCCAGCGAAATCGGAGCTTGCGTGTGGCCCTCCTGAGCTCCGTTTTCGCTGGCAGAGGGCTGCAGGAGGCTGTCCCAGCTGAAAACGGAGCTCACGAGGTCCACGTGCAGCCATCCGAGCTCCGTTTTCACTGGCAGAGGGTTGCAGGAGGCCGTCCCAGTCACAAACGGAGCTCAGGAACCTGTTTTTTCTGGTAGAGTGCTTGGACCACCACAGCCCCCCCCCCCGACATGAGTGACATCATGCTGGCCACGCCCACCCTGGCCATCCCTGAGATCAAACACAACCCTAATGAGGCCCTCAATGAAATTGAGTTTGACACCCGTGCTTTACACGATTTCTTGTTGGGAGCTGACCTCACTTCTCTAGCCATGGTCAGTGTTAAGTTAATAACATGGTCGTTAAGTGAGTCTGGCTTCCCCGTTGGCTTGGCTCACCTGAAGGTCGCCCAAGGGATTGAGTGCCCACATCTGGGCCCATGAGGCCCATGACTCTTCCTTTGCTCCATTTATGACATCAAAAGCCAACTAGACACTAGCTAAGATGAGCTTCAGGGCAGGCCAAGGAAGAGCAACTTACAACCTTCCGTGGGGCCAGACGGGGGAGGTCTGGGTTGGGAGGTGGGACTGGGCAGGGCACCGCGGCCACTGCTAGAAGCCATGCGGTGAAGAGCTAGGTGTGTAGCGAAGGTTTACCCAGGTTGGGAGCTGAGCTTTGGAGGAAGCTCTGGAGGTTCCTGGACCTCATCCATTATCTGTGGTCTGCTGGGACTGCAGTATGATTGGCTTCCCACCCTCCAGAAGACCCGTCCTGCCATGAATCATCAACTTTGGAAGTAGGCAAGGTAATTCAAGAATGCAGGAAGCACTAGAACTCACCGTCTCCTGGTGTTTAGCCCAAAGTCACCCAGCTGGCATTCATGATTAAGGTGGGACTAGAATTCACCGCCTCCTGGTGATTGTCCTAAAGTCATCAGCCAGCTTTCATGCCTAAGGCAGGACTAGAACTCACCGTCTCCTGGTGATTGGCCCAAAGTCACCCAACTGGCTTTCATGGCTCAGGCGGGACTAGAACTCCCAGTCTCCTGGTGATTGGCTCAAAGTCATCAGCCAGCTTTCATGCCTAAGCAGGACTAGAACTCTCTTGTCTCCTGGTGATTGGCCCAAAGTCATCCATTTTGCTTTCATGGTTAAGGCAGGACTACAAGTCACTGTCTCCTGGTGATTGGCCCAAAGCCACCCTGCTGACTTTCATGCCTAAGGCAGAACTAGAACTCACCGTCTCCTGGGGTTTGGCTCAAAGTCACCCAGTTGGCTTTCAGGGCTAAGATGAACTAGAACTCACCCTCTCCCGACTCCCAGTTTCTAACCTGCTTTCTTAACCATTGCACCAAATTGACTTTCAGTAGCCAAAGATTTTTTTAAAAAAATTTGATTTATATGCCGCCCTTCTCCGGAGACTCAGGGCGGCTTACAATGTGTTAAGCAATAGCCTTCATCCTTTTTGTATATTTATACAAAGTCAGCTTATTGCCCCCACAAACTGGGTCCTCATTTAACCTACTTAGAAAGGATGGAAGGCTGAGTCAACCTTGAGCCTGGTAAGATTCGAACTTACTTTAATTGCAGACAGCTGGTGTTAAACTGCAGTGCCTTGTCTGCAGAGCTATCCAGGCTCCTGATAGATATCCTGTCCCTAATGCTGGAGGCTCACTTTTGCCTCCCGGGAGATGATGGAGATATAATCCCTGGAAATGCATGCAGATCTTTCCAAGAAAGGCCCCATAGAAAGCATCCCGGAAGCTATCAGGACAGGCTCCAACTGAGACCCCTAAGGATCTCTGTCTCTGACGGGGCGTTTGATCCCCCGCAGGCGTCCCCAATGATGCAGAAGCCACGCCACATCCAGGGAGCCGGCGATGCCCTGGTCCGACCGGACATCGCTCCGCAAATGGAACGCCTGCTGAACATCCTGTTGCTCCTTGCCACTGTCCACTTCCTCCTCCAGACGGCCCTCTATATCTCCTGCCTCTACTTCATCCTTCCCATGAGTTGCGCCTTCTCCAATGTCATCACGGGGTAGGTTGCAAGCAGGGTTGGGTTCTACTTAGCTTTACTACTAGTTCGCAACGGGATCGCTTCTGCGCATGCGCATATCGCTGATGACGACATCCGAGACGGTGAGCGGAGCCTTCCGCCGGTTTTACTACCGGTTCTTGCGAACCGGTCTGAACCGGAGGCAACCCACCACTAGTTGCAAGCCAAGGAGACACCAGGCACCCTGCACAACTGCTGTGGAATGAGGCAGAGGTCCCCAAATTTTGGGACCAGGCAGTCCGGCTGGAGTTGGGGGGGAGAGGGGAACTGGGCCACGCGAGCAGTGGGCCGGCATGCACGCGTGCTCACGGAGCTCTACTCGTGTGAATAGCAGGCCGGTGCGTGTGCACGAGTGGAGTTCCACATGTGTGTGCACAGAGGCCCACCTCTCGCACAGCCCAGTTCCAAATAGACCACGGCTTGATAATGGGCTACGGCCTGTGAGTTGGGGACCCTTGGTGTGGCTGTCTCTACGCTTGAAAATTGGGTATCTCTAGTCTAACGAAACGAAGGACTTGGGGTGACATGATAGCGGTCTTCCCATATTTAAGGGGCTGCCCTAAAGAAGACATGGGGGGGTCAAGCTATTCTCCAAAGCACCGGAAGGCAGGACGAGAAGCAACGGATGGATACTAACCAAGGAGAGAAGCAACCGAGAACTAAGGAGAAACTTCCTAACAGTGAGGACAATTAACCGGTGGAACAGCTTGCCACCAGAAGTTCTCCATCCCTGGAAGCTTTCAAGAAGAGACTGGGCAATCATTTGTCTGAAATGGTCTAGGGCTGTGATGGCCAATCTGTGGCATGCATGCCAGAGGTGTGCCCACAGAGCCCTCTCTGTGGGCACACGGGCTGTTGACCCCAGCTCAGCCAGCTGGTCGTCGGGTTTCCAGCGCTCTGGCATATGTATGCGCCTTCCAATTTCGGCACTCTGTGCCATAAAGGTTATCGTCACTGGTCTAGGGTCTCCTGGGGGTTGGACTAGAAGATCTCCAAGATCCCTTCCAACTCTGTTATTCTGTATTCTGTAAAAGGTCAGAAGAGAAGGACTAGGGTTGACATGATAGCAGTCTTCATCTCACCTCCACCCAAATCAGAACCTTAGGAACTTAAAATACACACAGTTGGTCCTCAACTTAAAACCCATCTGTTTAGCGTCTGTTTGAAGCGACAGCAGTACTGAAAGCTATGATTGATGGCCATGTTGTCCCCAAAAGATAGATCCGCCTGGCACAGAAGCCCATCAGAGCCAGACACGAGCGACGGACGTTCGCAAAACGTTTATCGAAGCGTTTCAGCAAAAGGGTCCCAGCCGCTAAAGGAGCAGAGACCTTGAACAAGAGCATAGCACGATCTTTTCCACAGCTGATTTCCTGAAAGAGGGAAGTGACATTTCACAAAACAGTGTTACCAACTGGAGTGTTTCACTTAACAGCTGTGGCAAGAAAAGTCGTAAAATGAAGCAAAACTGTCTCACTTAACAAAATAAATGTTGGGCTCATTTGCGGTCATAAGTCAAGGATTATCTCTATTCGAGTTCTACAGTAACTTCTTTGCTTCCCATTTTAGACATACATACCCAACTTCCAAAGTTGGCCATCAGAAGTACAGGGGACCTCCATCTAAAAACTCATCATCTCCACCATGACCTTTAACTTTTAAGCTTGCAAGCTCCACAAAACCTCTTGTTTCCATTCCAGGGGGAACATCATGGCTCCCAATTGGCCATCAAAAGTAGGGGGACCTCCATCTAAAAACTCATCATTTCCACCATATCCTTTAATAACACTATATCCTTTAACTTTTAGGCTTGCAAACTCCACAAAACCTCTCATTTCCATTCCAGGGGGAACATCATGGCTCCCAATTGGCCATCAAAAGTAAGGTGGACCTCCATCTAAAAACTCATCATTTCCATCATACCCTTTAACTTTTAACACTATATCCTTTAACTTTTAAGCTTGCAAGCTCCACAAAACCTCTCGTTTCCATTCCAGGGGGAACATCATGGCTCCCAATTGGCCATCAAAAGTAGGGTGGACCTCCATCTAAAAACTCATCATTTCCACCATATCCTTTAACTTTTAACACCATATTCTTTAACTTTTAAGCTTGCAAGCTCCACAAAACCTCTCGTTTCCATTCCAGGGGGAATACCGTGGCTCCCAATTCTTCTGACCAACTGCAAGTAGGACATCACTTGGGTCAAGGGGCCGGAGAGAATGTTCAGCCCAGGGCCATCCTCCCTTATCTCCAGGGGGTCGAGGACATCCTCATTTCCATGGCAATTGCTTACTTCCTGGTCCGTGCTGGGCTCATCTTCTGCAACCTCATTTTCATCCTGCCCCTGATTTTCTTCCTCAAGGATCTCACTTGTCCTTGAGGAGCAACCATGAATAAAAGGAAAACTCTTGAGCAGGTATTATGATCTCTGTTTGGCACACCACGGGACAACGAGACCTTAGCACTGCGGAGGTTGAAGGAGAACTAGAAAGGAGTGAGGACAATTCCTTAGAGTTGGGTTTTGAGCCCTTTAAGTTGGGCGGACTTCAACTCCCAGAATTCCCCAGCTGGGGAATTCTGGGAATTGAAGTCTGTACATCTTAAAGTTGGTGAAGTGGAGAAATCTTGCCTTAGCGTCTGTAAAAGAGGGCTGGGAAAATATTTACAGACCCTTCACATCCTGGACATAAATTGTTTCAACTCCTACCTTCAAAATACTGCTATAGAGCACCGCACACCAGAACAACTAGACACAAGAACAGGTTTTTCCCGAATGCCATCACTCTGCTAAACAAATAGTTCCCTCAACACTGTCAAACTATTTACTAAGTCTGCATTACTATTAATCTTCTCATCGTTCCTATCACCCATCTCCTCCTACTTATGACTGTATGACTGTAACCTTGTTGCTGGTATCCTTATGACTTATATTGACTGTTTCCTAATATGATTTGATTGCTTATTTGTTCCCTATGACTATCATTAAGTGTTGTACCTTATGATTCGTGATGAATGTATCTTTTATGTACACTGAGAACATATGCACTAAGACAAATTCCTTGTGTGTTCAATCACACTTGGCCAATAAAGAGTTCTATTCTATTCTATTCTATTCTATTCTATTCTATTCTATTCTATTCTATTCTATTCTATTCTATTCTATTCTATTCTATTCTATTCTCTTCTCTTCTCTTCTACATTCCAGATTTTCTGTTCTGTTCTATTCTATTCTATTCTATTCTATTCTATTCTATTCTATTCTATTCTATTCTATTCTATTCTATTCTATTCTATTCTACATTCCAATATTCTCTTCTCTTCTCTTCTCTTCTCTTCTCTTCTCTTCTCTTCTCTTCTCTTCTCTTCTCTTCTCTTCTCTTCTCCATTCCAGATTTTCTATTCTATTCTATTCTATTCTATTCTATTCTATTCTATTCTATTCTATTCTATTCTATTCTATTCTATTCTATTCTATTCTATTCTATTCTAATTATTCACAGATGGATAACTACACATAGTTACACGTAGATACCTATGTAGTTTACACTAGGGCAGTGTTTCTCAACCTCCACTCCATTGTAGTTGTAAGTCAAGGACCACCTGCATTTTCTGCCATTGAGGTAACAGTCAAGGTGGCACAAGTAGTTCTCCCTTAACGACTGGTTCCTTAGTCATGGTTCCAAGTTACGACAGATCGCCCCGGACGTGCTGGTGACCCAAGTTCGAAGTTGCGACAGCCGCACACGGACTTCCCAGGCTGACGTCATCACTGTAAAGAGCAAAGCGGCCCAATTACATTTGTGGGATGGGGAGCTATATGCAGCTGCTAAATCGATCAATCGATCGATCAATCAATCAATCAATCCAGTCTTTGAAGAGTCAAAGGACCTCCCTCTATGCTGTTGAAAGTGGAATGGTCTTCTGTACCAGTGAAAGAATATTTGTAGCTCAGGGTTGAAATGAGGGGTCCTTGGTGCTCTCTGAACTTGGTGATTTTCTTGTAGACGTTTTATTACCAAACTAGGTAACATTATCAGTGCTAGAAAGGAGCGGGCTTTGCTGTCAGTTTATATTCCTTGGGGCCAAGCCACTAGAACAGGGCTCTCGAAATTTAGTAACTTTAAGACTTGACAATTTCAGCTCCCATGTGTCTGGGGAATTCTGGGAATTGAAGTCCGCAAGTCTTTTTTTTTTTTTTTTTAATTTGATTTATATGCCGCCCTTCTCCGAAGACTCAGGGCGGCTTACAATGTGCTCAGCAATAGCCTTCATCCTTTTGTATATTTTAATACAAAGTCAGCTTATTGCCCCCACAAACTGGGTCCTCAATTTACCTACCTTAGAAAGGATGGAAGGCTGAGTCAACCTTGAGCCTGGCGAGATTCGAACCCTGCAGTAATTGCAGGCAGCTGGTCTTAATAACCAGCTTAATAACAGGGTGCCTTAAACCCCTGTGCTACCAAGGCTCTGTACTACCAAGCCTTAAAGTTTGCCAAGTTTGGAGACCCCCCTGCACTGGAATATCGTCTTCTGTAGTCCCTCAGTTCCTTCTCACCTGTTGGATGGGTTGAGTAGAGGAAGCCAAGCTTCTATCCCTGTGACAGGAGAGGTCAATGGCACAGAAGGTTCCACTCGATTGGTCAGTGACCTCAGAGATGGGCGGGGGCTTCGCTCTCTGCTTCACAATGGAGTTTCTCGGAGAGAAGTTGGGAAGTTGAAGATGGATCCGTTGAGGACCAGCAAATCAGCTGGAGGGAGCTTTGGCTCCCGCCAGCTTTCGGCGTCTTCATTTTACAGGTGAGATTTGGGCCTGCTTGTTGAGAGGTCTGGAGCCCACAGGTCAAAAGCTAAAATATCTACCACATGTGGTGGTTATGTAAAAAAAGCCAGGGAGTCCTGGCTCCAGAAATATTAGATATTAGAACAAAACATAAGATTTAAAACCAGAATTATTCCTACTAGGAATCAGAAAAGGGAATCGTAGCAAAGAATCAATATACTTAATGCTTCATGTGATAACAGCAGTAAGGATGGTTTATGCACAATACTGGAAAAAGGAAGAAATTACACCCCGGAAGAAGAAATAACAAGGAAGATTTTGACGTGTGCAGAAATGGAGGCTGACATTAGAACTCAAAAACAAGAATGAGACAGAATATTATAAAATCTGGAATAAAGTGTATTATTGGTTGGAAAGGAGAAAAGGAGTTGGAACAAAAAAGAGAGAATAGAGTAGAGTAGAGTAGAGTAGAGTAAAGTAGAATAGAGTAGAGTAGAGTAGAATAGAATAGAATAGAATAGGAGTAGAGTTAGAGTAGAGTAGAGTAGAGTAGAATAAAATAGAATAGAATAGAAGTAGAGTAGAGTAGAGTAGAATAGAATAGAATAGAATAGAATAGAATAGAATAGAATAGAATAGAATAGAAGTAGAGTAGAGTAGAGTAGAGTAGAGTAGAGTAGAATAGAATAGAATAGAATAGAATAGAATAGAATAGAATAGAATAGAATAGAATAGAATAGAATAGAATTTTTTATTGGCCAAGTGTGATTGGACACACAAGGAATTTGTCTTGGGTTAGGGTTTGTAGAATTAATGCTGGATAGTATTAATAAATGTAAATAGTAAACAAATAGTAAATAGATAGTAAATGAAGACAAGGGATATGTATATAAGAACAAAGTAGCAATGTATGTTAAATAATAATTGTATTTGTTGTTATGGAAAGAATATGTAGGGATATGTTAAGACCAGGATGGTCACACTGTGTCCAATGTTTTTAATGCTTCTTAAATAAAAACATAAAAAAAAAAAGCTAAAATATCTGAAGGATTGCCATAAAGAAGAGGGGGTCCACCTATTCTCCAAAGCACCTAAAGGCAGGAGAAGAAGCAACGGATAGAACAGTGTTTCTCAACCTTGGTAGCTTGAAGATGGGTGGACTTCAACTCCTAGAATCCCCCAGCCAGCGCTGCTGGCTGGGGGATTCTGGGAGTTGAAGTCCACCCATCTTCAAGCTACCAAGGTTGAGAAACACTGTGTTAATCTCTGCTCTTGTGGGTATTTTATTTCTGGCCAGGAAGTGCAGTGATCTTTTAGCTTTTGGATCGTCTCTTTTGAATGGTGTGTAAATGTGGTCCATCTCTATGTGCCCGTTGATGGCCGTTTTGTCTGAGTGCCGCTGGCTGGGGGATTCTGGGAGTTGAAGTCCACCCATCTTCAAGCTACCAAGGTTGAGAAACACTGTGTTAATCTCTGCTCTTGTGGGTATTTTATTTCTGGCCAGGAAGTGCAGTGATCTTTTAGCTTTTGGATTGTCTCTTTTGAATGGTGTGTAAATGTGGTCCATCTCTATGTGCCCGTTGATGGCTGTTTTGTCTGAGTGCCGCTGGCTGGGGGATTCTGGGAGTTGAAGTCCACCCATCTTCAAGCTACCAAGGTTGAGAAACACTAGTATGAGGTCTCCCGCTTGGGCAAGGGGCTGGACTAGAAGACCTCCAAGGTCCCTTCCGACTCTGTTGTTCTGTTCTTTCAGTCAACTTTAGGCAATGGGTCACCTTTTGAGATCCTAGGAGATGCCAAACAAGAGGCTCGATTCACACCACAGACTGAACCAGGTCAGATAAAGCGGTAAAGAACTACATTTACACAGTGTGGTAAGTTGCGCTAGATCATGGCTTTGTTTTCAAGGACTTAGTCGATCTGCTTAGACACAACTCTTCATCTGACTACGATAGCCATCCACACTCTAGGTATGTGCAGTACATAAATTAATCCTACAAGCTGGATTGACCCACTCGGCTTTTTCTATCCCCGTTATCTTGCCAAGCGTAACGTTTTAACTGAGTTTAGAATGTTGTGGGGTTTTTTTTCCAATCAAATTTTTATTGGTTTGTCACGAAAAATAGAAAGAAAAATGAGAGTAGTGGGAAAATAGGGAAGGGCAAGGGAAAAAGGAAAAAGTGTAGGATAAAAGGGAAAAGAAAAAGGAAAACATCGACCTCCAACTCTTTTGGGGGCAGCAGAATAAAATTAACAACATACAACCTCAACTTCCAATTTTTACATAATAATACAGGTAGTCCTTGGCTTGACATCTGCACATTTTAAAGATGCCAAGTTTGGGAAAGACTACTTCAATCAATCAATCAATTAATCTATCAATTATCAATCCAGCCATCAATCAATCTGACTTCAACTCATAGAATTCCCTAACCAGCTTGATGGCTGGGAAACTCCTAGTTAAAGTTCGCACATCTTAAAGTTGCCAAGATTGAAAAACAATCCATCAATTCATCCATCCATTCATCCATCCATCCATGCATCTATCAATTTATCCATCAGTCTGTCCATCACTCCCTCCAGCCAGCCGGCCAGCAATTCATTCATCAATCAATTCATCCGTCATCCATCCATCCATCCCCCCCCTCTATCTTGTCTATCATGCATCTATCTGTCCAATCATGCAATTCACCCGTCCGTCTGTCCATCCATATCTATCTATCTATCTATCTATCTATCTATCTATCTATCTATCTATCTATCTATCTATCTATCTATCTATCTATCTATCTATCCATCATCACCTATCTTTCTCTGTCTTGTCTATCATCCATCCATCCATCTGTCCATCCATCCATCCATCCATCCATCCATCCATCCATCCCCCCCTCTTGTCTATCATCCATCTATCTGTCCAATCATGCAATTCACCCGTCCGTCTGTCCATCCATATCTATCTATCTATCTATCTATCTATCTATCTATCTATCTATCTATCTATCTATCTATCATCTATCTCTATCTATCTATCTATCTATCTATCTATCTATCTATCTATCTATTTATCTATCCATCATCACCTATCTTTCTCTGTCTTGTCTATCATCTATCCATTCATCTGTCCATCCATCCATCCATCCATCCATCCATCCATCCATCCATCCATCCATCTGTCCATCAATTCATCCATCCATCAGTTCATCCACCTGCCCATCCAGCCATCCCTCCAGCAATTCATTCATCTATCAATTCACCCATCCCTCCATCCCGCCATCCCTCCATCCCTCCATCCACCCACCCATCCTGTCCCCATTCCCTCCAGACCATCTCTAACTTTATGTCTTTCTGGGACAACCATCCAATTCTGGTCTTTTCTAGGGAAGCTGCTGCTTGCTGATCCGCAATGGTCCGGTCCATCTTAGGAGCCCAGAAGGAGCAACAGCATGTGGGAAACAATAATGACCAGCTTCAACTTCTGCCTCCTGGTCTGGTCCGTCTACTACTTCTTGGGGAACGAGAGGGTCCACGAACAGTTCTTCAGCAACTTAGGGATGGACCCCCTGGCCTTCCCTTTTGTGGATCTGCTCCGCGTCAGCTCCCACCTTAGACTCCGCATCTTCTACTACATCATCTCGGCTTTGCTCCTTGTGTTCCTCTCGGCCGTCTTCTCCCGGGACTAGGAGGCCAAGTCCTGGGGTCCTGGTGGGACGCCAGGTGCCCATCGGGGACACTGAACTTGACTTACTTGTGGTAATAAAGTCACCAGACGCTTTCGTGGTCTTCTCCCCCTTCCCCCTGGTTTAAATTTAAATTTTTCAGATTAAAAAAAAAAAAAGGCATGTGACCAGATCCGGTCCCCAAAAAGATAAATGGAATTTATACTGCGTTAAAAAACAAAACAAAAAACCACCCTAAATCAGAAAGAAAGCTGAATACAATGATTAAAAGACAGGGGTTGGGAAAGAGAAAGTAAAAAACAGCTGGTTAAAGGTAGGTCTGGACTCACGACCACGCTCGAGCCCACAGCTGTCATCCATCGCTAAGCGGGGCAGTTGTTAAGTGAGGTTTGCCGCATTTTTTTGCCGCAGTTCTTAAGCGAATCAATGCAGTTGTTAGGCAAATCATATGGACGTTAAATGAATCTGGTTTCCCACGTTGAGTTTGATTGTCGGAAGCCAGCTGGGAAGGCTGTAAACGGTGGACACAGAGTGAGATGAGATGAGATAAAAGATGAGATATAAGTTGGATACGATATGATAAATATAAGATATTGTCGATATAAAATATAAGATATGATAGATATAAATATACGATATATGATATGATAGATATGAGATATGATAGAAATAAGATTTAAGATATAACATACGATATATAAAATCATGATAGATATGATATAAGATAGATATAAGATTTAAGAGATATATGATAATATTAGATATGATATGATATTACAGAAATTAGATATAATAGATAGATATGATTGAAGATAGATATATGAGATATGAGATATGAGCTATGATAGATATGATATGATAGATATAAGATATGATAGATATAAGATAGATATGAGATATAAGATATAGATATACGATATTAGATAAAATATATGATAGATATAAAATATAAAAGATATAAGATTTATGATAGATATATGAGGAGAGGTATAAGCTATGATAGATATAATATAAAATAGATATAAGATTTATGATAGATATAAGATATTAGATATACAATATGATAAATATAAGATAGATATAAGAGATATAAGATATAATAGATATAAGATGTTAGATATAAGAGAAAATATAAGATACATGGAAGATTTATGATAGTTATAATATGATATATAAGATATTAGATATAAGATATGATACATATGATATAAGATACATATAAGATGTAAGAGATATAAGATACGATACATATAAGATATTAGATATAAGATATGATAGATATAAGAAGTGATAGATATAAGATTTAAAATGTAAGATATAGGATGATATGAGATAAGTAAGATATGAGGAGCCTTGGTAGTACAGTGGTTTAATGCACCCTGTAATTAATACCAGCTGTCTGCAATTACTGCAAGTTTGAATCTCACCAGGCTCAAGGTTGACTCAGCCTTCCATCCTTTCTAAGGTAGGTTAAATGAGGACCCAGTTTGTGGGGGCAATAAGCGGACTTTGTATAAATATACAAAAGGATGAAGGCTATTGCTTAACGCATTGTAAGCCGCCCTGAGTCTCCGGAGAAGGGCGGCATATAAATCAAATAAAAAAAAAAGAGAGATAAGTAAGATATGAAATAAGAGATAAGAGATAAAATAAGATAACCTTTTTGTCCTTTTTTTCTGGGAGCACACTGGTCCACATTAACAATAAAATTCTGTTTTGCCTGCTCTCAAAAGTATATATTATCTACCCCCACATAATACAATACTCATATACACATGCTATACACAAGCATATATATCCCATTTGCCGTACTCAAGGCTTGATAACCCCAAACAGTTCCTGATGTGACAAATTCCATGGTTTAAGGAATAGAACGCTCTTATTTAATTTTATTTACAATGCAGTGAAAAGAATATAGAGGCAAAATGCACGTAACCTGTTTGAATTAAATTAGCAAGGAATGTAGGATCCGGGAGTAAACAATCATATTTTTCGTTTGCATAATTCATGAGTTTAAACCTCATGAGATTAAAAAAAAAAACAAAAATCTTCTGCATTATTTTCATATCAGCGTCTTCATTTTTGGTCAATTTTTCCATTCGAGCTGTTTCCCGACAGACAGGTAGTCCTCGACTTAACAACAATTCACTTAGCGACCCTTCGAAGCTACAATGGCACTTACGACTTGACTTATGGCCATCTTTCACACTTATGACCGCTGCAGCATCCCCGGGGGTCACGTGATACACGTACATTCGGGATGCTTGACAACTGACTCACATTTACGACAGTGCCCCTGGGGTGTGTGTGTGTGTGTGTCACGCGATCCCCTTTTTGCGACGTTCCGACAATCAAAGTCCGCGGAGAAACAAGATGCATTTAACAACCGTGTTACTGACTTAACGACCGCCGGGATTTTACCTCACAGCTGAGGCAAGAAAGGTGGTAAAAATAACAAAATGTTTCCCTTAGCAACATAAATTTTGGCGGTCGTAAGTTGAGGGTTACCTGGGCATTTCTCACCAAGTGAAAATATTCGAATCTTTTCCTGTTGTTGTCGTTGTTGTTATTTGGCAATCTGACCAGTTCTTCCCCATTGACTGCAACCAACAACACCCAACTTGACTTGTAGGGTCAGCTGTGGACCTAGCTCGGTTTGTGACATCAGTGGTCAAGCAGAGATGCCCCTCCTAAGGTGGGCAGTCTCCTTTGGATGGGATGGGGAAGGGGAGATACCTCGCCCCATCAATGGGTCCAGGGTTCACGCACAAGGCCGGACGCGGAGAAAACATCAAATGCTGAACTGACTTTACGGAAACAGGTAGGACGGCTGTCCGAGGTGAGACCATCCAGGTGTGATGGTTCACAGGTGCCTTCAGGGACCTTCAGAAAATTTCATCCAAGCTCTGGTGAGCTTGATGGTTGAGCTTGATGGTTGAACTTCATTGCAAGCATTGAGTCTGATGGTCTTCGCCCAAATATTGAACGGGATGGTTTAAAATTGACCGAAATGCTTGGCCCTCTCCAAGAGATGAGCTTGTGGGGCACATGAGTCCCGCCCATCGTGCTTTCCTGGACCCAGATATCGGGGTAGTGGTGGTGGTTTGGAATAGGTATAAAAGCTCCAATCCTAGTTTGAACGTAATTAGACCATTGGCTGGGCCGAAGGTAAGTTATGGTTAGTTTGAAGGGTTAAAATGAGAGAAAATACTGTATTTCTACAGCAGTATTTCTCAAACCTAGTAGCTTTAAGACGGGTGGACTTCAACTCCCAGAATTCCCCAGCCAGCTTGGCCCAAGGCCTTTCAACCTTAAGAACTTTAAGATGGGTGGACTGTGGAATTCTGGGAGTTGAAGTCCATCCGTCTTAAAGTTCGTAAGGTTGAGGAACAGTTCTTAGGCCAAGCTGGCTGGGGAATTCTGGGAGTTGAAGTCCATCCGTCTTAAAGTTCCTAAGGTTGAGAAGAAAGAGGCCTTGGGCCAAGCTGGCTGGGGAATTCTGGGAGTGAAGTTTATTATTATTTATTTATTAGTCATATTTCTATGGCGCCCGAGGCATAGGGCGGCTTACACCAAAGACAGTATACTAACTGGCATATTGCCCCCAACAATCTGGGTCCTCATTTTACCCACCTCGGAAGGATGGAAGGCTGAGTCAACCTTGAGCCGGTGAGATTTGATCCGCTGATCTGCTGAACTAGCAGTCAGCTGAAGTAGCTGCACTACTGCACTCTAACCATTGCGCCACCTTGGCTCACCCATCTTAACGTCGTTGAGGTTGAAAGGTAGCATTATCCCGCTGGAGTAAGGTTATTTATCCTGAGTTCCAATCGCAAAGGTGTTTTTTTCCAAAAGGCAACTTGGACGTCCTTTGTTTTTCCTTGAAGACATTTCGCTTCTCATCTAGGAAGCTTCTTCAGTTCTGGAGAAGCAGTTGAGTGCCAAGGTGCCACTTCTACCCAGAAGGTGCCCACTTGGGGTGATACTTTAGATTGGGACTGGGTGGCAATCAGGTGATACACTCCAATCACAGAGAGTTGTGATTATTAGCAAAAAGAGAGAGGTTTTTGGATCGATATCTTTTGATCCTAAGTGATATTTCTCATGTTAAATCACTGGCCTTCACTCGTGAAGACAGCGTAGGAATGGGAGACCTTTTTCTGAGAGATTTAAAATGAAGCAAAAGCAGAATAAAATTTAAGTCTAGCTCTACTCTTGAACGTATTTTTTGGTCCCAAAGCAGATGTGGTTCTGATGGACTATTTGGAAGAATTTCTTCAGTCCTCAAATCCAGCTCACAGTCCTGAGATTTTTGTTTACAGAGATTCTCTGTCATCCAGTTCCTGTTTGTCCCAAAGTTGCTTCTTCAGAAGGCAACTGGACTTTGTTTTTCCTTGAAGACGTTTTGCTACTCATCCAGGAAGCTTCCTCAGTTCTGCCTGAGGAATGGCGGAAAATGAAAGACGGCTATGCCTTACACAGTCATCTGGCTGTTTGCATTCTCTCTGAGAGTCATTGAGGCCACTTGGAGGTTGAACTCTGCCTTCAGGTTCACCCAAATCGTGCACATGGTGTCAGGGATGAAATGTAAAATTTGTTACTACCGGTTCTGTGGGCGTGGCTTGGTGGTGGTGGTGGTAATGTGACTGGGTGGGCGTGGCCAACTTTTTTTTAAAAAAACTTTTCAAAGCATTTTTTTCTAATGCTTTGAAAAGCCTCTGCCGATCAGGCAACTCAGCTGGGATCGTCAGAGACTTTTCAAAGCATTTTTTTTACTACCTCTTCGGCCAAGAGGTTGCAGAAGAAAATGCTTTGAAAAGCCTCTGACGATCCCAGCTGAGCCACGCGATCATCAGAGGCTTTTTTTAAAACTTTTAAAAGCATGTTTTCATCGGAAGAGGTTGCAGAAAAAATGCTTTTAAAAGTAAAAAAAAAGAAAAGCCTCTGATGATCGTGCGGCTCAGGTGGGCATGGTGATGGTGGTGGGGGGGCGCAGGGATTTCTGCTACCGGTTCTCCGAACCACCCGCCGCCATCGCTACCGGATCGGGCGATCCGGTCTGAACCGGGAGCATTTCACCCCTGCATGGTGCGCGTGGAACCTTCTTGCAACTGCTGAAGCTTTCAGCAGAAGAAGCAAAATGTCGTCAAGGAAAACACTGACTTTTGAAAAAGCAGCTTTGGGGACAGTCCTGAGTTTTCTTGAGAACTTGTCGTTCAAGTTGTTTAGGCCTGACCTGGTTTAGCTTTTTCCAAGATCTACCAAACTTTGCTAGGGGCTGAGCCATGTGGGAGGGGGACCGAGTCAAACGATTGTCTCTCTTGGCTCCGGAAAGTTGGAGAGCTGAAGCCAACGGTGGGCCTTGCAAAGAGGAAGCGATCTTAGATGGGTTTCCAGCCAATGGGACAACTCGCCATGGCCAACTTGTTGTAGCCAACTCGCTGTGAGACAACTGACCACGGCCAACTCGCCACGGGACAATTTAACATTTCTATTTAATTATTGAAAACGAATAAAAATTATTTTAATGTTTGCCATTCACCTCTCATTCTGTCCCTCCTTTTGCATCCTTTCTATAATGATTCTATTCCATCCTTTCTTTGATATTAGTGTAACTCTTGTCCCGAATCAAGTTATCCTGTAGCAAGATGGCCGGGATGAGTTGTCCTACAATGAGTTGGCCATAGTAAGTTGACCATGATGAGTTGACCGTAGCAAGTTAACTGTGGTGAGTTGACCATGGCAAGTTGACCTTGGTGAGTTGACCATGGTGAGTTGACCATGGCAAGTTGACCCATGGCAAGTTGGTCATGGCAAGTTGGCCATGGTGAGTTGACCATGGCGAGTTGATCATAGCAAGTTGACCGTGGTGAGTTGGCCATGGTGAGTTGACTGTGGTGAGTTGACCATGGCAAGTTGACCGTGGTGAGTTGGCCATGGTGAGTTGACCATGATGAGTTGACCATGGAAAGTTGACCCATGGAAAGTTGGTCATGGAAAGTTGGCCATGGAAAGTTGACCATGGCGAGTTGATCAGAGCAAGTTGACCGTGGTGAGTTGACCATGGTGAGTTGTCTTGCAATGAGTTGGCCATGGTGAATTGACCATGGTGAGTTGGCCATGGCGAATTGGCTGTGGCAAACTGTCATAGATCCGGGTTCTCACATACCTTCTGAATGGTCTTCTGCTCAGTGCCAGCCCTACCTCTGTGTCCCACCAGTGCCGCTGTAGAAAGTATGCCCCGTTTCTTTTCCTCTCCAGGGCCACCGCCATGGATTTCCTGGAGACACCTCTACCATCATCACCGCAATTGTCCCCGTTCCTGTCATCTCCTAGTAGCCAAGTCGAGGCAGCACCGAGTGACAGTGGATTTCTGGAGGCCGTCCTCAGTGGCCTCCGGATGCTCATAAGCATCGTCGTGTTCCTGGGGCTTTGTGCTTTCACCGCCTACGTGGCCCTGCTCTGCACCACACTCTTCTTTGCCGCCCTCCAGGTCTTCTTCAGCACCCTCGTCCCATCGGCGCTGCTCATCTTCCAGTTTTTGCTGTCTGCCCTGCTTCTCCTCTTCTGCCTGCAGTGGATGAGGGAGATCCTGACCCTACAGTTTCGCTGCAATGAACCTCTTTGATGAGCCTAACTTGAATAGAGCACCTTGGAGGACAGAGTCCTAGGCTGAATTTCTTGGGAAGGGAAGGGAGAGGGGGCTCCAAGCTTGGGCAACTCAACCGTGTGGGTGAGGATCATGGAGGCGGTTCTGAACACCAGAATAGTAGAGTTGAGTGGGATCTCAGAGGTCTGAAAATGTTGGCCAATCTCTTCTTAAAGACCTCCAATGATGGAGCATCCACAACTTCTGGAGGCAAGGTGCTCCACTGAGTAAATTGTTCTCATCAGGAAATTTCTCCTTAATTCCAGGTTGCTTCTTGTTAGGATATGGTTTGAGCCTAACAAGTTGTCCAGGCAATATAAGTGTACTGTAACTTTAATCTGTAAATGTATTATGTGACTTTAAAGGTTTTCCTGCTGAGTCATTGTAATGCTGAGTCATGCTGTAATTAGGTAATGTCTAGTTGTGAGAGTATTTAAGCAAGGTATGGTAACGTGTTCAATTACTGCTATGCTATGCTGCCATTGATGATGAAGCTGATATGATAAGCTACCATTGAGAGGAGTTGTTATCTGCTAATCATTGTTGGATGGATCTGCAACCATCGTGGTTTGTGAACCAGAGTGAGTTTGTTATTCTAACCAACTACTGTTTGGTAAGAAGATATCTGTAACTACTGGACTGATTTTACTGGCAAAGACTTGGAATTTGTTTAAAGACTATGAGACTGTTTTTCTACTATAAAGTAAGCTTTTGATAAACCAGTTTGCACGTCTCTTATTCATTGCTCTCAGCAACGTTTCCTTGTGCATTTACTCTGCTGGTTGGTAACACAACACCAATATCCTTAACACTTCTTTCCTTGATTAGTTTCCACCCATTGCTTCTTGTCCTGCCCTCAGGTGCTTTGGAGAATAGCTTGACTCCCTCTTCTTTGGGGCAGCCCCTGAGATATTGAATCACTGCTATCATGTCTCCCCTAGTCCTTCTTTTCATCAAACTAGACATACCCAGTTCCTGCAACCATTCCTCATATGTTTTAGCCTCCAGTCCCCTAATCCTCTTTCCTGCTCTTCTCTGCACTCTTTCCAGAGTCTCCACACCTTTTTTACATCGTGGCGACCAAAACTGGACGCGATATTTCCAAGTGTGGTCTTACTAAAGCTTTATAATTTATGATCTTGATTCTATCCCTCTGTTAATCTTTATTTCATGTCCAGATCAAACCTTAAGCTGCCCAAATGACACCACCTTCCTGGGTTTATGGTTGGCCAGAAACAAATCAACGAACCGGTGGAATGACTTGCCACCAGACTTTGTGGGTGCTCCATCACTGGAGGCTTTTTAAAAGAAGAGATCAGTCTGGAATGATATAGGATCTCCTCCTCGAGCAAGGGGTTGGACTAGAAGACCTCTAAGGTCCCTTCCAACCCATTTGTTCGAAGAATCTGTCAGGGTGCTGATTAATCCCATTCTGCCTTTGGGATAATCGCACCTTGATTAAGAGGAGTGGATCGAGACTTTCCCTTGCGAGCATACTTTAAGAAAACAAAACCCGAAGATATATCTTCTAATAAACTCATTTATTTGTTGTAAAGAAAATAAAACATCTAACTGTCTAAAATTAATTGTGACATTTTTGAAAAAGTTCTTATCGGCTACTTCTCAGCAGCCGGACGTCTCTTGGCAAGAGAAGAAAGAAAAGAAATGTGAAAATGTGGAATGTGGGTGGAGAGACATGCGTAGTTTAGCTTACTGATAAGGCAAGCTACGGAAAGTCTGATAGTCCAGAAATGAGAGCTCAGCTGGTAAATAAAAAAAACGCAGTGACAGAATCCAACATCATTCTCGTCCTGTCTTTAGAGGTGCTTTGGAGAATAGGTTGTCCCTCTCTTCTTTGTGGCAGCCCCTCAAATATTGGAACAGTGCTATCCTGTTATCCCCTTTTTTTCCATTAAACGAATGGAATTCCTGCAACCGTTCTTCATATATTTTGGCCGCCAGCCCCCTAATCATCTTTGTTGCTCTCCTCTGCGCTCTTTCTAGAATCTCCACGTCTTTTTCGTATCATACTGACCAAAAAACTCTTTCCAATTATATTTGAATAAAATGTTTTAAGAACTTCGCTTGTCAGAAGTTTAAGCAAAAGGGGATGGCATGAGCCCGGGACACTGCAACCGTCATAAATAGGAACCAGTTGCCAAGCATCTGGATTTTGAATCACGTGACCAAGGTCGTAACTGTGAAAAACGGCCATAAGTCACGTTCATGCACGTTTATGCTTGAGCAGGGGACTGGATTAGAAGACCTCCAAGATCCCTCCCAGCTCTATCCCTTTTTACAAGCTGGCTGGGGAATTCCGGGAGTTGAAGTCCACCCATCTTCAAGTTCCCAAGGTTGAGAAATAGTGACCTAGATAATCCCCAAAGTCCTTTCTGATGCTTACAGTCTTATAAATCGATGGCTCCATAATTCCCAGCACTCTATTGGCATTGTAGTTGTTGAGTCCAACACCCCACCATTGAGCAGGGGTGAAATCCAACAGGTTCTGGCGAACCGGTAGTGGAAATTTTGAGTAGTTTGGAGAACCGGCAAATACTACCTCTGGCTGGCCCCAGAGTGGGGTGGGAATGGAGATTTTGCAGTATCCTTCCCCTGCCATGCCCACCAAGCCACACCACACCCACCAAGCCACGCCCACAGAAGCGGTAGTAAAAAAAATTGAATTTCACCACTGCCGTTGAGTAACCCTAGTCTTGGACTATCTACAGACCAAGAATTGTAAGCTGTTTTCTTCCTCTCCCTCCTTTATAGATTTCCACCTCTTTTATCAAGCTATTTCCAATTTTATTCAACTCCCGAATAAAAGGAGAGGGAGAAAAATGGGAGCTAAAGAAAAGAGTTCTAACGAGCAACTGGTACAGAGAGAGAGAAAGAGAGAGAGAAAAGATATTTTTGTTGTCAATCTAATGGAGAAGTTTTGCTCCTAAGAGATGCTACTCGGTTGATGGCCAAGCTAATTTGTGACATCAGCGGCCACAGCATGAGGTCACAAGTTGCTGTCCCTCAGGTTAGTGGGCCTTACAAGGCCACAACTCTTTGGATGTGAACACCTGGGGAGAGAGAGTCACCAATTGGGGGAAGATCTAGGAGAAGGAATGAAGACAGAACTGGAGTCGAAGGGCAGCTCCTAAGGACAAGCATGGAGAGCAGCCGGTAAGACCGAGACCTCTGTTGACATCTGGAGAAGGTGTTTGGTCAAGCGAGATGGGATGGGAATTGTAAACCCAACAGATCAAGAGGGCCTAAGACAATGTTTCTCAACCTTGGAAGCTTGAAGTCCACCCATCTTCAAGCTACCAAGGTTGAGAAACACTGCCCTAAAATCAGACGTGCTGAGTTCAGATCTTCGTGAAGTGGCGAGATGTTCCTTCTTCACCTGCCGTTGACCTTCGTCAGACCTCTTGGGTGGACGAATAAAACTAAACGGGTGTCAACTTGCAAAGCTTTCAAGTTGCCATGAGCAGGAGGGAGGGAGAACTGAAGTGAATTCCATACATTCTTCCTGACCGCAATCAGAAGGAGGGTGTTGGGTTTCACAGCCAGCCAAAGTGGTTAATTGGAGAATGTGATTTATGACATGGCCAGAGAGGAGGGGAGAGACAGGGTCATAGGGGAACGTAAATCTACGTAGGATCAGTCCTAACTGCATCCGAGTATTGCCGGAATGTTGCTCCTAATAAATGACTATATTTCCTTTGAAGTTTGGATCATGGCTCATGAATTAATTAGGGCATCTTTCGGAAACTTGACAACGGGATTGAAAGCAAGGATCAAAGTCGAGGAAGCCAACATCTGAGAAAACAGATCCATTGTTTTTTTGATGGAAGAGAATCTTTGTGGCTCAAGGGTTGAATCGTGGGATCCTTGCTGCTCTCTGAGCTTGATTGCTTTAGCAGAATAACAAGAGTTGGAAGGGAGCTTGGAGGTCTTCTAGTCCAACCCTCTGCTCAGGCACGAAACCTTATACCATTTCAGAAAAATTTCTGTCTAATCTCTTCTTAAAAACTTTCAATGGACTTCTGGTGGCAAGTTGTTCCACTGGTTAATTGTTCTCACTGTCAGGAGATTTCTCCTTAGTTCTAAATTGCTTCTCTCCTTGATTAGTTTCCACCCGTTGCTTCTTGTCCTGCCTTCAGGTGCTTTTAGAAGACTGCTATCATGTCATCCCAGTCCTTCTTTTCATTAAAAGAAACCAGGGGTCGGCAACCTGTGGCTCTGGAGCCGCATGTGGCTCTTTCATCCCTCTGCTGCGGTTTCCTGTCCACCTGTCAGCTCCACAATTGATAGGGCTTTCGGTTAGGACAGGTAGAGGAAAAAGGATGCCACACTAGGAGGAGACTCTATGGTGAGGGAACTGGACTTCCGGTCGGCTCCAGAATTGAACGGGGGGCTTCCTGTTAGCTGTTTGTGGCTCTTTGAGTGTTCAAGGTTGCCGACCTCTGAACCGGTGGTGCTATTCAGCAGGTTCTGACGGGTTCTGGAGAATCAGTAGCGGAAATTTTGAGTAGTTTGGAGAACCGGCAAACATGACCTCTGGCTGGCCCCAGAGTGGGGTGGGAATGGGGATTTTGCAGTTTCCTTCCCCTGCCACGCCCACCAAGCCGCGCCCACAGAACCGGTAGTAAAAAAATTTGAATTCCACCACTGCCCTAAACTAGACATTTTCTTGCAGACGTTTCATAACATGTTCACATGTTAACATCATGTGTGCTAGAAGGGAGTGAGGTTTGTAGAGAGGAGGGGGAGGAGGAGGAGGAGGAGGAGGAGGAGGAGGAGGAGGAGGAGGAGGAGGAGGAGGAGGATGATGATTTTGGGATCCTTGGTACTCTCTGAGCTTCTTTTCTTGCAGACATTTTGTGACCCAACTATTTCTTACTAGCACAGATTATGTTACCTAGTTGGGTCATGAAATGTCTGCAAGGAAAACAACCAAGCTCAGAAGGCACCAAAGACCCCAGAATTCAACCCTGTGGGTGGAAGGGACCTTGAA